GGGACTTGTTTGATGGGCTGTAACAGGGGGGTGGCCTTGCCCCCCCCTAGGCCAACTTTGCCCCAACCTGGGCCTTAAGTTCCAATGAATTTTGGGGCAATTTTTTTTTTCCTTTGCCTTTTTAACAAGGTTTGAAATGCACAGGGAAAAGGAAGGCTTGCCCCCCACTTTCCCAAAGCCTTCCCCAAAAAAACCAAACCGGCCCCTTTCCTCCCCCTTGGTTTTTTTTCTGGCTCTTCCAAAACGGGGAAGGCCCTTTTCAGGGTTTTCCCCCCCCCAAGGGCATCCCCTAAAAACTTCTTTTCTTTAATTTATTTCTGGCCCCTTGCCCCAGGACTTGGCAAGGGGGGGAAAAAATCAAAAACCACCCCAACCATTAAAATGTTGGAAGTCCCTTCGGATAACTGTTCCCAACCTGCGGAAACCACCAGGGCCACCAGGAAAAAACCCGGGGGCTGTTGCCCCGCTTTGGAATCCACCATTTTTAAATGGGCTTATTTTATGGGGCTGTGGGGGCCCCGGCGGTGGGCTTCCACCGCCTTTGTCCATCCTAGGCACCCCTTCTTGGGAGGCCCCAGGCGGGGAAGGGGGATCGCCCTTCCAGGTCCAGGGAAGGTTTTCGAAGGGAACAGCTTGGAGCGCAAAAAGAGCGAAAAAAAGGACCCCCCCCGTTCCTCTTTTTAACTATTAAATAGGGAAAAAAATTTTTAAATTGGGGCCAAAACTGAAAAAATAAAATATAAGAAAAAAATTGAAGCGGGGGGCGTTGGGTGGGGGGGGGCCACCCATGCCCCTGTTATGTTCCCAGCTAACTCGGAGGGCTGGAAGGGCCAGGGGAGGTGGGATCGCTTGAAGCCCCAGGAGTGAGGTTTGGCTTGTGAAGCGGAGGGGCTGGACACCCCACCGGGGCAACTTCTAGCCTGGCAACAAAGTGAGAAAACCCTCTGTTTCCTTCAAAAAAAAAATTAATTAAATTATTATTATTATTTTTAAATGGAGTTTTGAATTTAAGGTGGAAAACCGGGCGGGTCCCCCTTCAGAGTTGTTCCCAAAAAAACCCCGGAGTTCCCGAGGGGGTGGAAACCCCGGGGGGCGGGGGCCGGCAGGCCCCCCAAGCCCCCCCGGCTCCCCCAGGCTCGTTTTTTCCAAGTTTTTGCCGGGTTGGACAAAGCGGGGGCCCAGGGAATGGAAACCCCCGGAAGGCCCCGGCGGGACAGGGCGGGCAAAGAAGACCGGAGAGGCCCGGCGGGGAAAGCCGGGCAAGAGACCCCCGGAAGCCCGGCGGGGAGAACACCCGGCAGGTGGAACCCCGGGCCGTGTGAACCAAAAGGGCCCCGGGCAGGTTTGGACCCCCGGGGGATCCCCCGGGACAGCCTGGGCAGGAAGAAACCCCCGGAGGGAGCCCTTGGCGGGGACAAAAGCCCGGGGCGGGGGTTTGAATTGAGGGAAGCCCCCGGCGGACAGGCCCGGGGCCAGGAGAAAACCCGAGGGGCCGGCGGAACCAAGCCGGTCAGGAAACCCCGGAAGCCGGGCGGGAACAGGCCGGCCAAGGTTAACCCCCGGAATTTTTCGGCGACAGGCGGGCAAGGGTTGACCGCCAAGAGGCCCGGCGGGAAAAAACAAGGCCGGGGGGCAGTTGGAAACCCGAATTTCCCGGGCGGGGGGAACAGCCGGGGCAGTTGGACCCGAGCGGGGCCGTGGGACAAAGCCGGGGCCAAGGTTGACCCGGAATTTTCCGCGGACCAGCGGGGGCAGGTGAACCCGAAGCCCGGCGGGAACACCCCGGGGCAGTGGACCCCCGAATCCCCGGCGGACAAGCCGGCCAAGGGGTGACCCCGGAAAATCCCGGCCGGGACAGGCGGGGGGCAAGGTGGACCCCGAATCCCCGCCGGGACAGCCGGCAGGGTGGGGGACCCCCGAAATTTTTTTTCCCGGAGGGGAAAACCAAAGCCGGGGCAGGTTGACCCCCGAGGCCGCGGGACAGGCCGGGGGCAGGGGTGGACCCCCCGAAAATTTTTCCCGCCCGGAACAAGCCCGGGGGCAAAGGTTGGGAACCCGGGAAGCGCACAGCCGGGGGCAGGGGTGGGGACCCGGAATCCCGGCGGGGACGGGCCGGGCCAGGTTGACCCCCGAAGCCGGGCGGACAAGCCGGGGCAGGTGAAACCCCCAGATTCCCCCCCGGCGAAAACCCAGCCGGCCAGGGGTGACCGCAGAGCCGGGCGGGACCAAAGCCCGGGGCAAGGACCCCGAAATCCCGCCGGGGGACAAGCCCGGGCGGGTGAAACCCCGCGGGCCCCCCCGCCGGGCACTCACCAATTGGCTGGTTCCAAGGGGGGGCCGGGCATGGAGGGGCAGGTAAGGGCTGCAAAGAGGGCCGGCTGGGCTGGCCGAAAAAAAATTCCAAACCCACCCGCCCCGGCCGGCCCGGAACCAGGAAAAACCGAGCGGGGGGCGGCCCCGCCGCGCTCCGCCCAGGGCCTCGCGCCCAAGGCGGACGCCTCCCTGCCGCGCCCCGCAGCCACGCCCGCGCCACGGCCCGCAGGCGCCCCGCACACCAGGCGCCCCGCGAGCCCAGCATGGCGCCGCGCAGGGAGGGAGGGCGGCGTCGCGCGCGTGCTGACGTCACTCTCCGGCGTCCGGCCGGCGGCGGGCATGCGCAGTGGCGTCGGCAGGACGCCTGTCCATGCGTGCCTGTATCTTCCCACGCCTGTGCTTGTGAACCAGGGATTGTCCTAGTGGCTCACCCTGTAAGGGAATATTTATTATTATTATTATTTTTTTCTTTTTTTTTACTTGAAGTGAGTCAAGGAAATATTTTTATTATTTTTAAAAATGTTTTTCCTTTATATTTTTTTTCTTTCTTTTTTTATCACGACTGATTAGATACAAATTATTATTATTATTATTATTTTTTTTTTTTGAGACAGAGTCTTGCTTTGTCACCCAGGCTAGAGTGAGTGCCGTGGCATCCAGCGGGGACAGCCGGGCAGGTGACCCGAATCCCCGCGGGACAGCCGGGCAAGGTGACCGAGGCACGGCGGGGACAGCCGGGCAGGTGACCGCGAATCCCCGCGGGGACAGCGGGCAGGTGACCCGAGGCCGGCGGGGACAGCCGGGCAGGTGACCCGAATCCCGCGGGGACAGCCGGGCAGGTGACCGCAGGAGGCCGGCGGGGACGCCGGCAGGTGACCCGAATCCCGCGGGGACACGCCGGCGGGTGACCCCGGCCCGCCCGCACTCACCAATGGGCTTGTCCCCAGCGCGCCATGAGGCGCAGGTAGGGCTGCAGAGGCCGCGGCGCCGAGTCCACCACCGCCAGCCGCCCGACAGACCGAGCGGGCGCCGCGCGGCTCCGCAGGCCCTCGGCGGGCGCCAGGGCGGGGGACCGGCCTCACCGGCGCGCCCCGCAGCCACGCCCGCGCCACGGCCGCGGCGCCGCACACCAGGCGCCCGCGAGCCCAGCATGCGCCGCGCAGGGAGGGAGGGCGGCGTCGCGCGCGTGCTGACGGTCACTCTCCGGCGTCCGGCCGGCGGCGGGCAATGCGCAGTGGCGTCGGCAGTACGCCTGTCCATGCGTGCCTGTATCTTCCCACGCCTGTGCTTGTTGAACCAGGGATTGTCTAGTGGCTCACCCTGTAAGGGCGCAATCATCCGCTCTCACTGCCGAGCCTGCTACGGGAATATTGCGAACTGGCAGCTGCTGTCCTTACTGCTCTTCGGCTTCTGAGACCTACTTGAAGTGAGGCCCTGCCAGAGGCGCGAGGACGTGTAGAGGTTGACGCTGGTAGCGTCCGTCTGCTGACGAGACTGCAGAGTGATAGTTTGTTACGCGTGTTCTCTGTAGAGGCACGCAGAGAGTTGGGCGAAGGGCGGCATGTGTGCTGTGCGGGACTGCTAGACGGTGAATTGTAGGAACACACCCACTTTCCTCCTGAGACGTCCTTTTGTGCCTTCAGACCGACTGGAAAATCTTATGTGGGGTCGGGGGCACAGAAAAAAGACTGGCCTGTATTTCTTGTGTGGCGCCAGCGTTCGCGAGCTCCTGGTAAGACTAGTTCGGTGACACCCGCCTCGCGGGGTGGCCGTGCAGCGCGGCGCGGACGCTGCACTTGCTCGCTCGGAATGTAACGCTGCCTGAGGCTCTCAGACATGCGAGCTCCCTGTGCCTGCAGCTTTGCCGCGACTGACAGTAGCCTTGGGACTACAGGCATGTGCCACCATGGCCGCGCGCGAGGGCACGCCCCAGGGATTGAGGGTGTCCAGTGCGACAGCGAGCACGTGAGCTGGGAAGAAGAGAATGAGAGAAAGGAGAAGGATTATATAATCCCAAAGGAAAGGGAAACTGATCAAGCTAATTTGGGCTGAGCAATACATGGTCACTGATATCAGAGTATGATGAAAACAGTGACGTGCGAGATTTTCATGAGTCTCTCTCAGAGTGTCTAGTCTCTAGTTCTATTGTAAAAAAGAGGCAACTCACGGGGTCTCGCCTCTTCGCGCTTCAGAGGTCCCTTGAATTGCAGAAACTACCGAACAGCCGCCTCGGGAGTGCTGCCCCCCTGCCTGTCCATCCACAGCGCCAGCGGCCTCTCAGAGTGCTAGGATTTGCTGAGAGATGGCGCTCTTGACATGCAACCTGCAGCTGATGCGCGGCTGCGCGAGATAAAAATCTCGGTCCAGTTGAATCCTGGGGAATCTAGAGTTCTGAGGTGTTTGTGGGAGTGTATCTCTGATCTTTTGGTGTGGTTAGCACCATTAATGCAGGTGCATATGACTGAAATCAATCTGGAGTCTGGACACACAGACTGAGGCTGTGCTTCTGGGCTCTGCGTCCTGCGTTCGAGAGAGGTCAGACAGTTCATAATCTAAGAGGTGCATCGTGGAGAGATCAGCTCGCTCACAGCACCTCCAACTCCTGGGCTCAAGGGATCCTCCGGCCTCAGCCTCCCGAGTAGCTGTGGACTACAGGCATGTGCCACCATGCCCGGCTAATTTTTTCTATATGTATTAGTTGGTCAATTAATTTCTTTCTATTTATAGTAGAGACGGGGTCTCGCTCTTGCTCAGGCTGATTTCGAACTCCTGACCTCGAGCAATCCACCCGCCTCGGCCTCTCAGAGTGCTAGGATTACAGGCGTGAGCCACTGCGCCCGGCCTATTATTATTATTATTATTATTATTATTTTGAGACAGACTCTCACTCTGTGGCCCGGGATAGAGTGAGTGCCGTGGCGTCAGCCTCGCTCACAGCAACCTCCAACTCCTGGGCTCAAGGGATCCTCCGGCCTCAGCCTCCTGAGTAGCTGGGACTACAGGCATGTGCCACCATGCCCAGCTAATTTTTTCTGTATATTTTTCAGTTGGCCAATTAATTTCTTTCTATTTTTAGTAGAGGCGGGGTCTCACTCTTGCTCAGGCTGGTCTCGAACTCCTGACCTGGAGCGATCCTCCTGCCTCAGCCTCTCAGAGTGCTATGGTGACAGGCGTGAGCCACTGCACCCCGCCCTCTTTTCTTTTCTTTTTTTTGAGACAGGGTCTCACTCTATTGCCCAAGGTAGGGCACAGTAGCATCATCACAGTTCACCCCAACCTCAAATGCATGGGTTTCAGCGATCCTCCTGCCTCGGCCTCCCCAAAACACATGCTACCATGGCCAGCTAATTTTTAAAAGATTGTTAGAAGGTAGCAGACAATACTTTTTCAGGTTTGAAACATCATTACCTTTTTCTGTATATTCAAAATCATTAACTTCAGCTTGAAGTTTTCCTATTAAAAAAAGAAAACAAAACAACAAAAGGAATAAAAGAATAATTTTAAAAAATAAGGGAAAAAAAACAAATCAAAATACCTCAAAATGTAAATGTTCTTCCATGTCATTAGAGTGGTTATTCTGTGCTAGACAACATGCTAAGCACAGGGAAGATAAACATGATTAGATAACATACCTGTTTCTTATAAGCTTAGAGTCAAGCGAGGCAGATTGGTGGACACGATTAAGATGCATCGTAAGTCCCATCGTCAATGTACCAAGTGCTATGGCAGCAAAGAAAAATGAGGAAAGTATTGTGAGTGAAAGAGGAAGTATTGAAACCGGTGTTTGAGCTGGACCTTAATAAACATGGAAGTTTGCCACTTAGAGAGGACAGTTAGAATGCTCTAGGTAGACAGTAGAAGGAACTGCACAACATATAGGAGCAAAACATGAAAGCACCTGTATGTATGTTCAGACTTCTCAACCCATGTGTGGTTGGAGCCTAGAATTCATGGAGGGGCTGGGCGAGGTTGAGTGGCTCACACCTGTCATCCAAGCATGCTGGGAGGCCGAGGCGGGAGGATCGCTCGAGGTCAGGAGTTCGAGATCAGCCTGAGCAAGAGCGAGACCCTGTCTCTACTGAAAAAATAGAAAGAAATTAGCTGGCGAACTAAAAATACATAGAAAAAAAATTAGCCGGGCATGGTGGCGCATGCCTGTCGTCCCGGCTACTCGGGAGGCTGAGGCAGGAGGTCACTTGAGGCCAAGAGTTGGAGGTTGCTGTGAGCAAGGCTGATGCCAGGGTACTCTAGCCTGGGTGACAGAGTGAGACTCTGTGTCAAAACAAAACAAAACAAAACAAAAAACCAAAACAAGGGGAGCCACTTAAAAACTTTAAGAAAAGTCAAGATGTACGATGAATTAGGAAATCCTAATAGTAACACAAGGCAGAATTTAGACCTCAAAGTAGAAGAGGGGACAGGGAGAAGAAAAACAGGACACGACTTGAATCATGATTTAATCTTCGTGATGAATTAAGAAACAGTGTTTGTGACTGATGGTCTCTTGTCCTTAAGGACAATTGTTTTGGCGTTGGGGAGGCTGAAAAGACAAAGGCAGGAGGTATAAACAAAGCAGCAGAAAAAACAACGCTTCCAAATGCAGGAATCACAGGCTTTATTAAAAAAATAATCATGCAGGGCCAGGCGTGGTGGCTCATGCCTGTAATCCTAGCACTCTGGGAGGCCGAGGTGGGAGGATCGCTCAAGGTCAGGAGTTCGAGACCAGCCTGAGCAAGAGAGAGAGACCCCTGTCTCTACTAAAAAAATAAAAAGAAATTAGCTGGCGAACTAAAAATACATAAAAAAAAGAATAAGCTGGGCATGGTGGCACGTGCCTGTAGTCCCAGCTACTCGGGAGGCTGAGGCAGGAGGATCGCTTGAGCCCAGGAGTTGGAGGTTGCTGTGAGCGAGGCTGACGCCACGGCACTCACTCTAGCCCAGGCTACAGAGTGAGACTCTGTCTCTCAAAAAAATAAATAAATAAATAAATAAATAAATAAGAATAATCGTGCAATTTTAAGGTTATAAAAATTACTTTATTTCAAATGTGAAAATATAAAAACGACTTGCATATAAAATTTAAGGGTCATTGAAGCATCCAGCTTCGATTTAAGTCCCAGCTTTGGCTGCTTCTAAATGTGCTTCCATCTAACTGAGACAATATTCATAGCAGGCCTAAATACGAAGAACATTAATCCTTAAGAGGAACCAAAGGCAGGGGACAATGACACGTTGTGTCCCGCAGGAAAAGCACAGAACCGTGATGTGCAGTGTTGTAGATTTGCCAACACCCTGTCCACTCCTAAGGAGGACCGTTCAGGGACAATGACAGGAACCTCACTGTCGTTGGCAGAGATGGGGGAAATGGCCACATGGCACAGGGCTGACCAGTAAGGCTTGGGGGGACATCAGGAGAGGTTTGCTGAGCGGATCTCTGAGAAAGAGTTCAAGTCTATGTAGGAGACACAAAAACAATTGCTCTTTCTCTTCCTCTCGTTGGGACCAGGTCTGGATGGGTCCACGGAACAGCTATAGCCATGAGGCGACCAGCGTCCATGACAAAGCCAGCACTAAAGATCACCGAGCAGAAATGGGAAGAACCGGGATCCTTGGTGACAGATGGCACTGCTGCAGCCTGCCCTGCCTGAACTTCTTGTCATGTGCAATTATAGATTTCCTTATTGTGTAAGCTATTTCAATCAGGGTTCTCTGTTACTCGCAGCCAAAAGCTTCCCAAATGAAACAAGAACCAAAGGGCAGGCCGGGCGCGGTGGCTCACGCCTGTCATCCCAGCACTCTGGGAGGCCGAGGCGGGAGGATCGCTCAAGGTCAGGAGTTCGAGACCAGCCTGAGCAAGAGCGAGACCCCGTCTCTACTATAAATAGAAAGAAATTAATTGGCCAACTCAAAAAATATATATAGAAAAAATTAGCCGGGCATGGTGGCACATGCCTGTAGTCCCAGCTACTCGGGAGGCTGAGGCAGGAGGATCGCTTGAGCCCAGGAGTTAGAGGTTGCTGTGAGTGAGGCTGACGCCACGGCACTCACTCTAGCCTAGGTGACAGAGTGAGACTCTGTCTCAAAAAAAAAAAAAAGATTGTAGCACTAAACTTTTCCCAATGGGAGCCCATAGAGCTGGCCTATGAAGGAAAGATTTAGTGGTAGATTTAGCATAGGATTAGAATCCAACAACCTTCTAATATCTGTTTTTAAGAATGAAAACAACTAAGCACTGTCTTAAAACTAATACTATGGCCGGGCGCGGTGGCTCATGCCTGTAATCCTAGCACTCTGGGAGGCTGAGGCAGGTGGATTGCTCAAGGTCAGGAGTTCAAAACCAGCCTGAGCAACAGCAAGACCCTGTCTCTGCTAAAAACAGGAAGAAATTAATTGACCAACCAAAAATATATATATAGAAAAAATTAGCCGGGCATGGTGGCGCATGCCTGTAGTCCCAGCTTAAGAAGCTTGCAGAAGTCTGCACAAAAGTGTCAGCTGTGTTTTTGGGGAGGTTATTTTCTGCAGAGTTCCAAGGTCGATCTGATCACTGTGAATTGACAATGCTGTGGGTAAAATGAAGAGCATGGGCAAGGCACTATACCCCACAGGCTGTGCTGTTTCATCAGCCCTATATAGACCTAAAAGATGCTGTAGGCTGGGCGCGGTGGCCCACGCCTGTCATCCCAGCACTCTGGGAGGCCAAGGCGGGAGGATCGCTCGAGGTCAGGAGTTCGAAACCAGCCTGAGCGAGAGTGAGACCCCGTCTCTACTAAAAATCGAAAGAAATTAATTGACCAACTAAAAAGATATAGAAAAATGAATAAATAAAAGATGCTGTACATATACCGAGTGTAAGCTTCAAGTATGCTGATTGTTGTCGCACCAGGCCGGGCAGTGAGGATGGGGTTTTATTTGAGGGTAGCATCGTGTTTTATATTTTGAAGTCAATAACACAAAGTCAAAGAAACTGAAGACCTGTTTGTCAAGTTTCAGATGAAATAAAGCTGGAAGGAATTAGCAAGCAATGGATTTGGGAGAATGGGAGACGCTAGGCAAAATTTATCTGAGATAAATACTGCTTTTATGTGAAAAATATGATCACCCAAACATTTCTTAAATACTCACTATGCAGAAGCCTTCTAGGCCATATACAAGTTGTTTGTGTAAGAAATAATTTGTAGCCTGGGTGTGGTGGCTCATGCCTGTCATCCTAGCACTCTGGGAGGCTGAGGCAGGAGGATCGCTCGAGGTCAGGAGTTGGAGGTTGCTGTGAGCGAGGCTGACGCCACGGCACTCACTCTAGCCTGGGTAACAAAGCGAGGCTCTGTTTCAAAAAAAAAGAAAGAAAGAAATTCTCATATAATGGGTATAGAAATAAAAAATAAAAAAAGAAAGAAAAAGACCAAAACAAATAAGAAAATTAAATCTATTGACACTTTTCAGAATTTATCCATTCAAACCATTTCTCCAATACTGCCTAGAGGAATCTTCACTCTCCATGAAGTTCAGTCACCAGAAATGGGAAATGGTAGGTGGGATTTGTGGCTAGAGTTAGCATTTTAGTATCATCCTATCAGCAGTGATAGATCGAAACTAATAAGAAGACAAAAACCCTGAAATTTAGCAACATTCTTTGCAACCTAAAAAAAGAGTACAAGGCTACAAAGATCTCTACGGCCTCCCAGCTCCAGAAATCATGGTTACAACTTTTGAAAATAATATTGCTGAGGCCGGGCGCGGTGGCTCATGCCTGTGATCCTAGCACTCTGGGAGGCCGAGGCGGGAGGATCGCTCAAGGTCAGGAGTTTGAGACCAGCTTGAGCAAGAGTGAGACCCCGTCTTTACCAAAAATAGAAAGAAATTAATTGGCCAACTAAAAAAATATATATAGAAAAAAATTAGCTGGACATGGTGGCGCGTGCCTGTAGTCCCAGCTATTCCGGAGGCTGAGGCAGGAGGATCGCTTGAGCCCAGGAGTTGGAGGTTGCTGTGAGCGAGGCTGAGAGGCTGACGCCACAGGTACTCACTCTAGCCCGGGCAACAGAGTGGGACTCTGTCTCAAAAACAATAAAAATAATAATAATTAATATTGCTGTTGGGTTATTGTTCTTCTTCTTCTTTCAATTCTTCTATCCTTATTAAATTATCAGGTTTGAGCATATTAATTCATATCATATTTATATTTTCCACTTATAGTCCTTCAATGAATTAACTGTTCATACATAAACAGTAATATTTTTTCTTGCCTCATATTATTTATAAAAGCAGGGTATATTTCCCATTATAGATTCTGGCAATTAGAATCGTTGCATAAATCTGTTTGACTTGGACTTGCAAATGCCTATGTTTAAGCCAACATTTTTTAAAATTTAAGAGTCTGCATCTATCTCTGTGGAATACAATAGAAGAACCCAACAGAAGCGAGAGAGCAAAAAATGAACACTGAGTGGGGGACGCATTTAGACCCGCTGGGTGGTTATACAGACTTGTGGCAGGGAGGGGGTGTGGTGAGTCGGAGCTATGTGCGTTCTGCCAGGGATGAAACCTGCCAGTGGGGTCAAGGGCATGTTCTGTACTTGCGCTTTGGTTGAGGGGGAGCTGTTTGTGCGAAGTGAAGGGTTAGGACTTCGAGAGTTGTTCTTCCGGGCCCCACCTTTCACACTCGCCATGAGCACACGGGTGCCCACTCGAATTTCTTGAACAGAATGTGAGTGATGAGGCCGTAATCCTAGGGTGGGTGGTTTGGGGGGAGAGGGAGGACCAGAGATAGTATCGTATACTGTATTTTGTGATTTACTCAAGACTCTAGTGGTGACGGCCATAAGTGGTCTTTCGGTATCCAAAGAGTGTGAGGTCTGTTATTCCTTGAGGGGTATTTTAAATTAGGGATTCATCGTTTTTGTTTTTTTTTTTTTTTTTTTTGTGAGACCAGGTCTCAGTGTGTTTGGCCCGGGGGCTGTGGGGGGGGTGGTACATGGGTGCGGCTGGCATTCAAGAGAGGCTCACCTCACCGGGATGGCTCCTGGGCTCAAAGTTGCTCGCGATAAACCTGACATGTAAGAGCTACACGACTCAGGAGCTGCGTAGCTTGGGACTGCAGGCAAGAAGCGCCACCAGAGACTGCACGGCGTAAGTTATTGTATATGCTTGTTAACTGGGGATATAATCTATGTGCTGGTTGGCAGACTTAAACTTTCTTTCTAGGTATTTAGTAGAGACGGGGATGAACGCTGGGATGCCAGCACCTCCATGAAGGCACCAGCACGGGCAGGGACGGCGTTACTGTCGTTGCTAGGACTGGGGAAGATTGAAACTAGCGTGACCTTGAGCAGAAATTACTCCCGGTGGGCGTGATGACGCGGGCCCTGAGGGAGGACGGCAGTAAGGAGGTTGGCTGTGCCGGCAAACTGGCAGTAAAGGAGGGGCCAGGATCAGAAGA